TTTTGGTAAAAGAGGAGAGGAAAATACTCAAACGCCACGGGGTGAGGTGGGAAAATCCCCCCCTGCAGGAAGTGAGCCTCTGACACTAGACCTTGAATTCCCACCCCCCCCCCCCTTTTTTTTTTTTTTTTTAAATCGGAGCAGACTTAGCGAAAGACCCTTGAGATTGTAGTTCAAGTACTGGAGAGTTTCAGATCCCAATAGAGTTCGGGTTAAAATCGGAAATTGGATGGGGCTGGGGGTAAATAATCCCAGTGATGCAGAGGTTCACCCCCTTTACCACAAAAATGAATAAAATCTGAAATTGGCACAGAAAGGCCTCTGCCCAGTTGCCTATACGTGTGATCACACCAGGTTACTGGAGTTTGTTGGAAACTACACAGCGGTGTTAGTGTCTCCTGTCAGGGAATCCATCTCCAGTTTTTGTTTTTGATTTTTAACTTATGGTGTATACAAAGATTCTAGGATTTGAGGTCTGCCTTCAAGATTTGTGTACTTAGATTTTTTTATTTTTGTTCAAACCATCTAAACTCAGCTTTATGTGTTCCCGGTTGTAAAACCAAATCGTAGATTTTCAGATGTAAATGAGGTTGGCCACTTGTGGTGGGGCACAGATTTACTCCCCATAGTGACAGAGGCAGGCTGATCCTTTGAGTTTGAGGCTAGCCTCATCTACATAGTGAGTTTCAGGCCAGCTAGTTTTGAAAAACCGCCCCCCAAAAATACTAGAGTAAAACTCAAGACTACACAAGAGTTTTAGAACTGGCTCTTTCTAAAGAGTTACTGATATGTGTACATGCATGTGTGTACATGCATGTGTGTACGCAGGTACCCAAGGAGGTCCTACCTGGTGTGGCTACTGGGAACTAACCTGGAAGAGCACCAAACACTGGGGCATCTCCTCAGCCCCTTAGATCTTAGCACTTTGCTTTTAGAAGAAATTTGTACAGCTTCATTTCAGTATCAGTTTTTTTAAAAAAATTGATTTTTATTTTATGTGTATGCGTGTATTGCCTGCATGTAGGTAAGTGCACCCCTGTCGTGGTGCAATGCCTGCAGAGGACAGAAGAGGCCATCGGATCCCCTGGAACTGGAGTTATAGACAGTTGTTAGCTGCCATGTGGGTGCTGGGATTCGAACCTGGGTTTTCTGCAAGAACGACCAGTGTTCTTAACCACTGAGCCATCTCTCAGCCCCTGAATTAACATTTTAACTAGAGTGCGTCATCACATGTTAAGCACAACAGTGACCTGCACTTAAACTGTTCGAGTCTAACTAATTTTGTTGCTCCTTGAAGTCAAATTTATCAGTGAGGTTATTAATGGAGAGAGGTTTCTGGTAGCTCTGCCATTCGGCATTGAAGCCTTGAGCCTTGTGGCTCTTCGAGGTGGGTATTTAGCAGTAAGGCAGGAAGGGGACTGCTGTGCAGTTACTTCACAAATCTTGCTCACTGTCAGAAAGAAGTGACTTGAAGCAAATTGAGATGGTAGAGGTCTTGGGTCTCTTCCAGTCAGGTCAGAACTGACTTGTTCAGCCTTTATGATCGAAGGTTCTGATACTTAGGGAAGTGGGCAGTTCTTGAACTCAGACTGTGTGGTTTGCAGCTCTGGGCTGGTGGTCCAGGAGAGGAACATTAGGTAATGGTGTTCTTGACCCGTTTTAAAATAAAGCAGGTGTTTTTTTTTTTGTCTTTAGACCCCTCTGTGTTTGGCATAAAAAGTAAAGGGCCGAGCCTAGATCAGCGCCAGAGGTTTGTGATTGAATGTGATTGATTCTTCAGTGGGTGAGACCAGTGCTAAGAGATACAAATTAGTAGAAAGCTTCCAGGCTGTGACTAATTTTATGTGCATGGGTCTGCCATGTGCGTGCTGGGAACTGAACCTGAGTCCTCTGCAAGAGCAGCCAGTGCTCTTAACCGTTGAGCCATCTCTCCAGCCCCTTGTTTTTTCTTCATTTTTGTCAGCTTAGTAAAACTGCTTACTGGTTATCTTTTTGAGACAGGGTCTCACTATGTGGCCTGGAACTCAGGCATCTGCCTCTACCTCCATGCCAGACCCATCAGTCCTTTAGCATTTTGCAGATGAGTTTTTTTTTTTTTTAGTTACAGAATTCAAATAGGCATTTGTATGCTTTTCATTTAATTACGTTGTGCTTTTGGCTGCTTTGGCCAAAACTGTTGCTGACTTGGCAAAGGGGATGATTGTCAAAGTAGGTAGATGAAAAAGTGTGTGTGTGTGTGTGTGTGTGTGTGTGTCTGTGTCTGTGTGTGTGTCCAGGGTTGTCAGCAGTGAGTGGGAAAACCTATGTCTTGGTCCAAGCTCAGGAGTTAAATTTAGATTCAGCAGCTGTAACCCCACCTGTAGTTGATGATCCCAGTGGCCGTTAAATAGAAATATTTACCATCCTCTATTGACCTTTTTAAAAAGTGTGTGGACACCTTGTGCAGCTTCTTGGGAAAGCTGAGTTGCAAGGCAGGTGATGGGCGCTGGGACTAATCTTCATGAGAAACCTGGAGTTTGCATTACAAAACAGAAAGCCATGGGAAAATCCTGCTGCTGCCACCCCGCTGGGCCGGAGGTCTCTGGCTTGTCCCAGCCTTTAATGCATGTGCTGTATTTTAGATTCTTAGTGAAAAGTAGAGATGGAGAGCAGGTGAAACTCTGTCTGGATTGGGACATGTTTTTGTAGGGGTGGTTTCTGGTGACTCGTCACTGAGTGGAGGTCTAAAATTACTGCACATTTTTAGGGCCATCTGCCTGCTTTAATTTTTACTTTTGGTCCTGGGGGTTGAGTTCAGGAACTAGAAGTGCTGTCACAGATCTTGGGTATGCTCATTTTTACTAAGAAGCTGTTGGGAAATCCAAGTGGTTGTATACCTTTGTTTCATTGAGATGGAATCTCTGGGTAGCCCTGGCTGACCTGGAGCGGATAAGCAGAGATCCTCCTGCCTCTGCCTCCCCAGTGCTGGATTAAAGTGTGTAGTATGTAGACTACTACGCCTGCCCTGTACTGGTTTTGTTAGACCTGTGGTACTTAATAGCCAGTCATTTCCTTATTTCAAAAACAAAACTTAAAAAGACTTAGCTGGGTGTGGAACAAAACTTAGAAACCAGCCTGGTCTATGTAGGGAGTTCCAGGCCAGCTGGGATTACAGGGAGACCTTGTGTCAAAAAGACAAAAAACAAAACAAAACTTAAAAAGACTAAGAATCCAGAGGGTGTGCGTATGTCCCTGTCCCTCTCTTCCAGACCTCGCCCTTCCTTGGTTGAGTACACCAGTGTGAGTGGACTTCCTGAGCTCTACTTAGAATTTCCTGGTATGGCCTGCTGAGGTGGTACACCTCACAGGTTGGTATACAGGAGGATCAGGAGTTCAAGGCCAGCCTTGTCTACATGAAGCCCTGTCTTAAAAAATTCTAGCAGGGTGTGGTGGTGCATGCCTTTTGGTCCATGAGAGAGATCAACTGGGGCTATAGGGGGATCCTGTCTCGAAAATAGACCAAAAAAAAATCCTTATGTGGCCACCCAGGCATTTTGGGTCCTAAGGAATAGGAAATGTGTTTAGAGACTTCACAGATAAGTATTAGTATCTTTTCATCTAATTAGTTAATTTGTGTGTTACTTGGAATCAATCC